TTAGCTAGTGGCAATCACGTAATTAACGCGAACCATTGAATAAGTTATTATTATTTTATATATTTTGTCGTTTATTGAAGTTAATTTTGGTAATTATATAAACTTTTTTATACTCAATCATTGTTTATGTTTATATTTATATTTTAGGATTATATGTAATTGTCATAAATTAATAGTATTAAATTATATTTTATATTTTATAAATAAATATTTTCTTTTAAGTAAAAAATAATAATAATTTACTTTCATATATTATTTTAAAAAATAAAAATTAGTCACGTATATAATAAATAATATACTCGTAAATATAATTTCTCTACCCTATAAAAATAAGACACATTTTGTATAGTAATTTATATATTAATATTTTTTAATGAGTAATATGTTATAATACTTTAATTATATAAATTTAATTATTATAAAATATATATATTGTTTATTTATAATGTAATAGACTCGTTAATATTTAATTCAATTTAATTATTACGATTTTATTATTACAATTTTATAATAATTTAATTATTTATTATTTAATTTATTAATATATATTGATATATCATTGAGTAATTAATAATAAATGTGAAAGATAATGAGTTTAAAGCTATTAATATAAATTAATTAATTAAAAAAATATTAACCCACACTAATCATGATTAATTAAATATAGCTAATCAGGGTTTGCTTTGCCCTAATTACCTCCCTTAGTCTCTTCAATAAAAATCCCCAAAACCCTTTCCCTCGCTCTCTCTCTCTCGCGTTCTCCCAAACAACACTTTCTCTCTCCAGACCGACACTCTCCCCCCCACACACACACACACACAGAGAGAGAGAGCCACCACATACATCCCCGGAAAACCCTAACTCGCCGCCGCCATGGACGCCGAGTCAACTCAGATGCAGCAAGCCCAATTGGCTATCATCCTCGGTCCCGACCTCGCTCCTTTCGAAACCCTAATCTCCCACCTCATGTCTTCTTCCAACGAGACGCGTTCCAGCGCGGAGCTTCTCTTCAACCTATGCAAGCAGACCGATCCCGATTCACTCTCCATTAAGCTCGCTCATCTTCTCCAGTTATCTCCTCATCCGGAGGCTCGTGCCATGGCCGCTGTTCTCCTTCGGAAGCTTCTCACCCGCGATGACTCGTATCTCTGGCCCCGACTCTCCCCCGCTACTCAGTCTAGCCTCAAGTCATCCATGCTTACCTGCATCCAGAGAGAAGACACGAAGTCTATATCTAAGAAGATTTGCGATACTATCTCTGAGCTTGCCTCGGGGATTATTCCCGATAACGGCTGGCCTGAGTTTGCTTCCGTTTATTTTCCAGTGCGTTTCCTCGGATTCTCCTAAGTTGCAGGAATCTGCCTTTTTGATCTTTGCTCAGTTTGTCGCAGTTTCATAGGGGAAACCCTAATCCCGCATCTCAAGCATCTCCACGGCGTGTTCCTTCAGTGCTTGACTTCTTCCAGTAATTCTGATGTGAAGATCGCTGCGTTGAATGCGGTGATTAATTTTATTCAGTGCTTGTCTAATTCTTCGTACAGGGACAGGTTCCAGGACTTGTTGCCCGCGATGATGAGGACTTTGACAGAGGCTTTGAACAGCGGGAACGAGGCCACGGCGCAGGAAGCGCTGGAGCTGTTGATCGAGCTGGCGGGGACGGAGCCACGATTCTTGCGAAGGCAATTGGTGGACGTGGTCGGTTCTATGCTGCAAATTGCGGAGGCTGAGTCGCTTGAGGAAGGCACGAGACATCTGGCCATTGAATTTGTGATCACTCTCGCTGAGGCTAGGGAGCGGGCCCCAGGGATGATGAGGAAGCTCCCGCAGTTCATTAGCAGGCTGTTCGCTATCCTGATGAGGATGCTGTTGGATATTGAGGACGATCCGGCGTGGCACACTGCCGATAGTGAGGACGAGGATGCGGGTGAGACCAGTAACTACAGCGTTGGGCAAGAGTGTTTGGATCGGTTGGCGATTTCGTTGGGCGGGAATACGATAGTTCCTGTTGCCTCGGAGCAATTGCCTGCCTTTTTGGCTGCTCCTGAATGGCAGAAGCACCATGCTGCTTTAATTGCTCTAGCCCAGATTGCCGAGGGCTGCTCCAAGGTATTGAAAATCCGCACTAATCTTGTTGTTTTAGTTTGGCAATCTTATTATGATTCTTTTATTGCATAAGCCGTAATGTATATCTGGAATTCTAATCCCGTGGCCCAGAACTCTCATTCTCACTTAGTGAGCATCTAGGATAGTGTCTGTCTTACCAACGGTACCGAGTATTTATTTCTAGTAGATTTCTCCGAATATTATTTGTGATTGAGTACAAATAGTTGTGTTAATGTGGCTAATGGTCTGCATACTCTGCTTATTCTTGCCTTCTCAATTGCATTATCAGTAGTCTTGAGTTCATTTATATCAACCGTTTCTTTGTTTCACTTTAGTTTCTTGAACTAAACTTGATTGTAATGCTGCAATGCAGAAGAGCATTTCTGAAGAATTTCTCTTTCTTCTTTTTCGCAATCGGAAATAATTAAATTTCTCTCTCTGCATATGCTGATGCCAAGGCTATTTTATTATCTACAGGTAATGATAAAAAACTTGGAGCAAGTGGTATCTATGGTTCTAAACTCATTTCATGATCCCCACCCACGTGTGAGGTGGGCGGCTATTAATGCAATCGGGCAATTGTCTACGGATTTGGGTCCTGATTTGCAGAATCAGTATCATCAAAGAGTGCTTCCAGCGCTGGCTGCCGCCATGGATGATTTCCATAACCCTAGAGTACAGGTCAGTCAAAGGCATTGAACATTATACCACGTGGATCACTAGTCATTCATTTAATTTCCGAGATAAAGAGTTTCAATAGATCTCCTTCATGTGACATGAGTGTCTTTGTCACTAAGTAAGACACATCTTTATGAGCAAGTTAGCAGTTCTATTAAATAGCTTTGGTTGTGCCCCCGTAGTTCCAAACTGATTTCTGGTACGAACTTGAGCCTAACATTGGTATACAATGAAAAGGCCAAGATGTGAGTGATTTGTCCTTGTATTATATGGTTAAAAGAGGGTAGTATCAATCTTTGGTTCAAGTTAATATTTGTAAATCCATTGCTGGAACTATTTGGGTTTGTTGCAAAGTTGAGTTTTGTTTGCTTTTCATGTGCTTGAATTGTCTTTTTGGCTTCTAATTCAAGCTCTTGGCCTCCTTGTTTATGTTCTTATGAATATTATTTGCTTTATGGGTTACTGAATGGCCTGCTCTGTGAGTCTATACGAACTCAGTAACTTAGTACTTCTTCACTGTTCAATTTAAAATTCGACAATTATAGTTACCTATTTTATGCAATCTGCTTATCAAACAGGCGCATGCTGCTTCAGCTGTGCTCAACTTCAGTGAGAACTGTACTCCAGAAATTTTGACGCCTTATTTAGATGGAATTGTGAGCAAGTTGCTTGTACTTCTACAGGTAATGATAGATCAAACCATAATTCAAATACTTCTACTCATACAATTCATGAGTATTTATATCTACTCTGAATGTCACATATATATTATGCAGAATGGAAAGCAAATGGTGCAAGAGGGAGCCTTGACTGCATTGGCATCAGTTGCTGATTCATCTCAGGTATTCCTTCTACAGTAACCAATGTGTTTCTTTTCAGAAAAGAC